ATGGCAAAGTTGCTCGGCTGCAGGCGGTGGAAGGATTCGCGCTGCCGGAAGCGTAGGAAGTAGGCCTCCACTTGTGGCAGTTTTCCAAAGGCCCAGAAGTGATTCTCGAAACCCACCTGGTACAGGCGATGCAGCAGCAGTCCCAGCGAGATATCAGCCACGCTGAGCTCGTCTCCGGTCAGCCATTCGCTACGCGGCGCTTGGGCGGATAGCTCCTGCTCCACGTAGAGCAGAAAGTGACGCACTGCATCTAGAACTTTCTGGAAATCCTCGCGGGAAGAGGCTAACTCATGGCGGCGCACTTGGATGTCTAGCTTGTGCTGCAGTGCTGCCTTGTTGGTCGACTGATCGTCCACGGAGTGGCGTAGCAGGTCCAAGACCTTTTCGTTGTTTTCTGCGGGAAGTAGAGATCTTAACTTCAGGTTATCGATGAGGCAGGAGTAACTTACTCAGGCAGGACTGGCGCACGGGTCCTATGAAAGGCGCCTTAGGCACCAGCTTCAGATCATCGTGGATGAAGGAACCCAGACTGAGAGTTCCCACTGGCAGGCGGGCAATGGCTTGCTCGAGGACCAACATCTGGTCGAATTCCTTGGAGTTGTGCGCGGGCTTCAGCGAACGATGAGCTACTAAAATAGGAAAGTTTATTACGTAATCATAAGAGCTATTGAGCGATGATTTACCTCCTCGGAACTTGCTCTCCACATAGTTTATAATGTGCGTTGAGCTAGGAATGACGAAGGCTCCATCCTGGAGCACTGGCACATCGCCCTTGGGATTGAGATTTAGGAACCAATTCGAATACTGCTCGCCATTGCACAGGTCCACCACATAAGGAAAGAAATCGATTTTCTTCTCGTAGAAAACCATGAGAACCTAAAAAATGATTTGATATCTTTAAAACCAATTTACTTTCTTATGTTATTCAGATTCTTTATATTATGATCGTTGAATAATCAATGGAATTACCAATTAAAACTTCTTGTATAGCTATATATAAATATAAATATATTTTTTTCTTTATAAAGAGAATTGAATTAGTGATAATGTACATACATATGTATGAATATAGAAATGTAATATACAGAGATTTAATAAAGTTGTGTTCCAGTTAATCCCCTTCATTGAAAAGTTTAATACAATTGAAAAAAGGGAACTTTTAGGTGATTCAGTAGAGCGTAATTATAATTTAAAAATATATATATTTTTATCTCTAATTAAATATGTACTTTAATTGGGACTTTTTCATAATCTTTAGCTCAGTTTTAGTATATAAAAAAACAGAATTTTGCTTTGGGAGCTGAACCCCGTTTTCAATTATTGACTTCATTTAATTATAGACTTAACAGCACAAAAATAAAATTAATTTATTTCGCTTCAGTTATTATACTACGATATGCTACTGTAGGTTCGTTTGGAAGTTTGTTTATTTTCGCGTTTCTAGCATTTTGCTTTTTCCACTCAATCCGCCTCATTAGCACCTGCAGTGGGTATGTAAACAGTGTATAATTTAATCCTATGCTGTCATAATATCCAGACCCCCGTCCAATATCTAGAGAACTCCACTACATTTCCGACATGCCACCCGCCAAGTCATGCTCCATTGCACCCGAGAGCAGAATCAGAGAGATTTAATGAAGATCGTGGGTGGAGAACCTTCACGGCGGGGGCATCCCGTCATTACATCGAAAAAATAAAACACCCGATGACGATTCCAACTGCCAATGATTAGTTTTGTAATTTTGCGACATTAGCGTATGGATCTGGTTGGGCAAATGATTTTTCAGAGATCACATGATTAATGCGGTTACTAACTTTTTGCGCATGGAAGTTGTACGGATGAAAGAAGAGCACTGGTTTGTTGTCCGGAAGATCCGGGGCCTTGAAGTCCTGCAAAGTGGGCGGCAGAGCCTCGATCTCCTTGGTCTGATCACTCATTATTATTATTTTTAGCGTATTTGTTATAGTTTAATTTAGTATTAATATCTTTCTTAAGTTAATGTTAGTTTGTCGATTAGGTTTCCACTAGCATTAGGGCTTTTCTCATATCACATGCCTCGCCGACGGTTGCGAAAACTAACTAACAAAGCCGTAAGCGCGTGCCGGATTGAATCGAAAAACCGGAGACTTGCGAACTGCTTCCGCCGACGACTACGTCTAAAGTGAAGTCAGATCTGGGGAAGGTAAAGCTAAAGTCTCCCTTCGCCTATTAATTTGCACTTTCGGCGGCTCGCTCTATAGAGTCGATAGTAACATATATGTTTTGGACCCCAAAACCCTCCATTATGTCAAGCGATTCGCTCTCTTTTTGCGGTTTTGTTTGTCATACTTATTTATCTTTGTTTATATTATTACGAAACAGAGCGTTTATCTTGCTATAAGGAGATTTTCTTTTCAAAAAGTCTTATCTGCCAATGACTGGGGGATGAGTGAGTGGGTCTAAATGGAACAATACAATGTATAACCTTTAGATCACTAATATTTTAAGCCACATTATTAATAACTAGATGGGTTATTAGTTAATCTTTTAAAAAGTAAAGAACTGCAAAGATAACTTTGTAGGGAATTTAAATTTACCGCCATTATCGTATAAGCTTTTTCCACCGCTGTGAATGACAAAAGTGTTGAAAGAAGAAGATTTGGTAAACAACTTTGGAGATTTGCGCCCATAGTATAGTAGTTAAAAAAAGGAAAATCAATTATTAGGCAACGAATCTCTGGATCCTTGTAGCAAGTCCTTCCTCTAAAATGTTTAATCTAAGCAAACAGCTGGTGGTCAGGGCGCCAAAGATCCGTTTGGCCGCTTGCGCTGTGAGTGGAAGTGGTCAAAGTTCAAGTCTCGATCAAAACAGCAACAATTGTGGCCTGGAACTTGCTGGCCCTAATCTCAATCGATGCCACAAACGTTTGTCCAGCACTAGTCAAAGTTCGCACGCCAGTCCAATGAAGCGTTTAGCAGGAAAAGTTGCCGTGGTTACTGCCTCCACAGATGGGTAATATGAAAAGCAAACTCCATCAGATTCCCCCCTTTCATCCTATTTAATCCCCTCCAGCATTGGCTTTGCCATCGCCAAAAGACTGGCTGAAGATGGCGCTGCCGTGGTCATCAGCAGCCGGAAGCAAAAGAATGTGGACTCTGCTCTGGCGGAGCTGCGAAAACTGAACCTCAATGTCCATGGACTCAAGTGCCATGTCAGCGAGCCGGAGGATCGTAAACAGCTCTTCGAGGAGACCATTAGCAAGTTTGGTAAACTAAACATCCTGGTCAGCAATGCTGCCACCAATCCTGCCGTCGGTGGAGTCCTTGAGTGCGACGAAAAGGTTTGGGACAAGATCTTCGACGTGAACGTAAAGAGCTCCTATCTGCTGGCCAAAGAAGCACTGCCTCTCCTGCGCCAACAGAAGAACTCCAGCATTGTTTTCGTCTCCTCTATTGCGGGCTACGATGCCTTTGAGGTTAGTCCCCTTATCTACGATTCATTGGTTCTGTAGCTTATCTGCTTTACCTTAATCTCATAGCTACTTGGCGCCTACTCCGTCAGCAAGACGGCGCTGATTGGCTTGACCAAGGCGGCGGCCAAGGATCTGGCGCCCGAGGGCATCCGCGTCAACTGCCTAGCCCCCGGAGTCATCAGGACGAAGTTCTCCAAGGCTCTGTACGAGAATGAGTCGGCAAATGAGGCGGCTTTGAGCAAGATACCCATGGGTCGCCTGGGCACAAGCGAAGAGATGGCCGGCGTGGTCTCCTTTTTGGTCTCCGAGGATGCGGCTTACATTACGGGCGAGTCCATTGTGGCCAGCGGCGGAATGTCAGCTCGTTTGTAAGCGGTGTACATAAATATATATTTCCTTACGGGCTATGGATAACAGCGGTGTTCACAGTAATTATAAAACAGAATGGAAAATGACGGACAAAAACTACGAGGAGCGCAGCTTGGCCAGCTGATCGGCAATATCCTTTTCGGTGCGCTTGCCGCTCGTCTCGAAATCTGAGGTTCCCGTGGCCGGGATGCTGGACATCTTGCCGGAGATCTCGATGCCGATCTCGTCGAGCACCTTGTTGACCACGGCATTGGACTCCTCCTCGTCACCGGACTCGTTCAGCATGTCGTCCAGTGTGTCGTTTATCATCTCGTCGGTCATCTCCATCTTCATGTTGGCCGCCTGGAATTGGCGAACTGTCTCCCCAATGGCCTCCGGTCGCATCACCTTGTTCATCTCGCCCATTGTCTTGGCCGTTGTGCCCATGGCCTCGCTAAGGGCGATGTTGGCGCCCATGTTCTTGTTCTGGTAGCCAATGGACTGGATCTTCCCGGAGGCTGCGTAGGTTCGAGACTTTTGCTTCCTGATCTCCACCAGCTGCTTGGCCAGAATGCGGCAGGCATCGTTGTTGCCCGCGGCAGCATTTCGCCGGATCTCCAGCTCCAGCTTGCGTTCCTCCTCCTCCATTTTCCTTCGCTCCCGTTCGATGTCCCTGGTGGCCTTGCGCAGGGACCGATCGTTCTCCCGCTGCTGCTCCTTCACGGTGGGCTTCTTTCCGAACAGATTATTGAACATTTTGGGATTTTGTGCGACTTTAGACCTAGTTTCTCGACTGCTGGTGATGTTGTGATGGGTTTTCCTGATGATGAATCACTAGGAGACTGGATTGGAGCTATCAGAGTAAATATCAAAACAGCAACAGCTGTCACAGGCGTTTCGCTGTGACTGTCTGATATGGGCATGGGCGCAGTTAGCAACTCATTAGGGGGTGGAATAGTAGATACTAGAAAAATAGGAGGAATATTTACGAGTGGGAAGAATTTGTTAAATTTAGACTTTTGAGTTAAATTAAGTTAAATAAAGATTGTCCACTCTGCTAGAAGACATAGGAGAATTGAAAACTTTAAATGGTATACAGATATATTTTTTTATAAGAAGTGTTGGCTTATCTTTTCCAACCCATTATGAAATGAAGCCCCTTGTTCATCTACGCCTCTGTTTGGAGTTGCCACCTCTTGTTTTTAGCGAAAACACCGGCATTGTTGTTACCTGAACTGAATTAAAAAATGTCCGTGGAAATCCTTAAGCAAGGCGCCGAGGGACGCCTGTATCTGGGCGATTTTAAAGGAGAACCCTGCCTGATCAAGGAGCGGTTCGTGAAGAAGTACCGCCACCCGGAACTGGACACCCAGATTACGCGGCAGCGCATGAAAGCCGAGGCAAAGGCGTCTGGCAGATGTCTTGCCGCTGGGATCCTGGCCCCAAAGATTCTCCACTCGGATCTCAACAGCCACAAGCTGTATATGGAATACTTTGACAAAGCCAAGACGGCCAAGCAGTTTATCCAGGAGACTGTGACCAACCAGGCCGAGGATCTGGCCAAGAAATCCCTTGTGGAGTTCTGCACGAGGATTGGCGCAATCATTGGAAAAATGCACTCCAATCACATAATACACGGCGATCTGACCACTTCCAATATCCTCATCAATCCAAAGGGCGGCGATTATGATGTAATACTGATAGATTTCGGATTAAGCCACTACAATCAGGCCACCGAAGACAAGGGCGTGGATCTGTACGTCCTGGAACGGGCGCTATTGAGCACCCACAGCGAGCAGCCGTATCTCTTCGAGCACATCCTCACCGAATATCGCAGGGAGTGCGGGAAGGATGAGCAGGCCGTGCTGTCCAAATTCGAGGAGGTGAGAGCCCGAGGACGCAAGCGGACCATGATCGGTTAACAAATAATAAAGTTTAATCGAAGTTATACTGTTGAACTTATTCTATCCTCTTTAAAGGCTCTCTGGGAGGGTCATCTTGCAGCTGATCTATCTTTATCTTCTTGATGTACTTCCGCTGTTTGGTTTTGTGTTTGAGTTGTTCGTGCTTGAGAGGTTCCATTCCTTCAACGGGCGGCAATTTGAACTTCTCATATGGACGCTCTTTAATCTTTGCAATGGCATCTTCCAGCTTGAGACCAGCCAAGCCCAGTTCCTCGTAGTACAGGCGGTATTTATCACAGAATTTTGAGTGTCCCTTTTTGAAGGCGGCAGTCTTGGTCGAGGGATGCTAAAGGAGATCATAAATAATGAGTTGGCCATAACGAATCGCAATGCTAAACTCACCCTGGCATCAATTGCTCTGGCGCAGCCCCTGTGAAAGTTGTGCAGATGGCGGAGGAAGGATTCATTGGGCTTAATGCCCTCCTCCAGACTCAGCTGAATGATCTCGTTGATGTAGCCAAAGGATTTGTTGGCGCAACCCTGTCTTAGCATGGCGCCCAGGATGGGCATGTTCATCTTAATGCCCGCCTCCTTCATCTGTTGCAGAAGTTCTCTGGCCTCCTCTTGTGTGCGACATCCCAAAGCGAGAACCCCATAGGTGACAATATCTGGACGCAATCCGGCCGTGCGAATCATGGTGAGCACTTCGCGAGCACTCTCATAATCAAAGCGCATGGAACGCTTTTTGATCAGTATGTTGAAGAAGTCTATGTCCGCCTTGAGTCCTATTTTGCGCACAAAAGTCAGCAGCTGTTTCTCCGCAGAGTTTGTAGGTGGAATTACCTCCAACATTGTGGTAAAGGTTTCGATATTCGGTGTGATATTGTGCTGCTTCATGTGCTCCAAGAAACCGGTGAGGCCGCCGAGGAGCAAGAACCGCTCATGTGGTCGGGTAACCTCCTCCAAGGCCACCAAACTGCCCAAATGGGGTCGGGGCAACAGGAGATTGGGCAGTTCCAGTTCGCTTGCGGTTGTGGACACCTCGATTTGAGCAGGCAAAGAATTATTGTTTTGAGAAATACTACGTAAGTCATCTTTTTGTCCCTCCTCCAACTGAAGAATGGGCTTTCTGCTAGCTGCTGCCGGAGCAATCTGGGCGAGAACCTCCCGCATCGAATCCAAGTCACCAAATCCACAATCCCTTGCACACCTCAGCATCGCATTAAAGCTATAGTAGTCCGGACTGATACCGCTTTGCAACATCTTGTGCCAGGTGAGCAGAGCATGCCGGAAACCGTGCTCCGAGTTGCTGGCACATGCCTGCAGCAGAAAGTTATATGTATCGGCATTCAGTTCCAGCTGGCGCTCCTTCATTTCGTCGGCCAGCATGTAGGCAGTGTCCACATCTCCGCATCTTCCATAGGCCTTGATCATGGCATTGTAGTTCTTCACATTCGGTTCGTAGCCCTTCTCCAGCATATTCTCCCGCACAATTTGAGCCTTGGCCAGGCCATCACTCAGAGAAGGAGCATTCGCACAGGCGTTGAAGAGCGAGGTGTAGGTTCCGCCGGTCACCTGTAGACCACGCTGACGCATCTTGGTGTACAGGGAGAAAGCCTTGCGAGTATAGCCCACCTTGGCGCATCCACTGATAAGCAGGTTGTAGATGTACTTGTCCGGCTTGGCGCGATCCTCTCGCAGCATTCTTTGCTCCAGCACGGCAATGGCCTCGTTCAGGCGGTTCGCCTTCAGGTGATCTTTAATCTGGCGGGCATATTCAACGGCCTGCAGTTTCTTGGAACGCCGCGTGGGGTTGCTGATGAATTCTTCTTCTTCGACATCTCCAGGGTCTTCGGTTTCATTTATCTTGGCATCGCCAAATGTATCCGGATCCCCAAAGTCCTGCACCTTTTTGGGGGATTTCTCCTTGAGCTTCTTCTGTGGTCTGAATTTCTGGCGCTCCTTGGGTGCTTCTGTGACTGGTTCCTCAAGAAATTCTTCACGGAAAGGGTTCTGATTCCGGTTGGCCTCTCGTTTGGTCTGTAAACCGGCTTCCTGATCCGTAATCCTCACGTGCAGCAGGCGACTTTGTGCCCACGACCAGGATGCAGAAGGCACTTCCGGCTGAGCGATGTTATAACCATTTAATCCCCTCCTGCGCGCGTTAATTTGCAAGCCACGCATGTGGGAGGCCATTGTACGGCCAAGTAACCGCAGAGCCATAGTTTCTCTTGCAATTTTCTGTGATTTTTATGTAATTAAAGAACTATTTCAAACGTGCTTGCCGCTGCGATGTAAATAAAGAAACAGCTGATTGGAGGAGTTGCCACCTGCTGCAGAAAAGCCATTCCCAAAAAAACGCGTTCAAAACGACTGCCATTCACATTCCTCGCATACGGGCCCTGCAATCTGACCTGGTTTTGGATCAAATTAGTGAAAATTAAATAAATTAAACATGAGCATGACAGTGGACCCGCGCCGCAAGGAGAAGATCAACCGCTACAAGGCGCCCAAGAACCAGGGACAAAGTGGCAGCGCCAACGAGGACATGATGCCGGACTACATGAACATTCTGGGGATGATTTTCTCCATGTGTGGACTGATGATGAAGGTAGTGTACCCAGTGATAAAACCCTAATGACTTGGCAGTTATCAGTATTTACTCTATCCCCTTAGCTCAAATGGTGCGCCTGGTTTGCGCTGTACTGCTCCTGCATCAGTTTCGCCAGCTCCCGGGCCAGTGACGATGCCAAACAGGTGCTATCCTCCTTCATGCTGAGCGTCAGCGCGGTGGTCATGTCCTATCTACAGAATCCCGCAGCCATGACTCCGCCCTGGGCCTCCTAACACTGGATGTAGGTAGTCCAACTTCAAGCCTAGTCTAGTGTAGATGAAGGTGTAAACTTTATTGCGTTCCGAAATGGATTAAAGAAGGACCAAATATGAGAACATGCGGCTGGGCTTTAAAAACAATAACTTATGTAGGCGGTGATGTGGAGGTAGTACAATTTAGCTACTGCGATGACTCCTCGCACTGCGATTGTGGCTAGGTGGTGAGCAGGTAGTAGGCGAACAGCATGAAAGCCACAATGTAGACGGTGCCGAAGATCAGGACGTATTAAATCTCCCCGAAGCGCTTGTGTCCGGTCTGCTTGGCGTGTTCCTGGGCCTGCACCTGGCCCACGAGCCTTACATCGCACTGCATGCAACGCAGCGTGAACTTGTCTACATTGGTGTACTGGCGGGAGGACTGCGCCTCGTTGGCCAACTGCTCGGCCTGCTGGTAGACGCCCAGTTCCTCCACCGGAAAGATAGTGGCCGGCGCAGCACTCTGCGAGGTCTCCATGTACAGCGGATCGTAGTGGATGCCATCGAATAGCAGAAAGACACGCAGTCCAAAGTTCTTGTCCTCGCCAAATCGATTGATAATGGCATTTTGAATGTCCACCACATCGATCTCGATGCCATAGTAGTTGGACAGTATGGATACCTCGATGGCGCCGCCCCACGAGTCCGCCTTCTGTATCCAGGCGCAGTACTCCGCATTCGACTTGCCTAGCACGGCATCGTTGTAGCTCTGCGGATCGGCGGCCACCTCCTGGGCGATGATATGACGCATCATTTCGCTGCCCTCGTTGTCCACCTTGCCGTTGAGCACGAAACGAATGCTGGTAAATAGGCACGAGTTGTCCGCCGGCACTACCTTCTTCAGCAGGATGCCGTTGAAGTCGCCGTTTGGCCCGCTTTCCGTAGGCGCCACTGGCAGCTGGAGTTCCGGCACCTGGCCGGGTGCTCCTGCAGTTTCCTGCAAAAGCTGTGCCTCCTCCTCGGCCTGCAGACGACGCGCCAGCGCCTCGTCATCCTCCATAGTGTGCGAGGCAACAGGCACAAAGGGTGTGGCAGTGTTGGTGGGTGCTGGGGCGGCAGCAGACGCCGGGGCAGGAGCAGCCTTCTCCTCCACAATCAGGGTCTCGCCGCTGTTAATCCCGATTGTCTTAAGGTCGCGCTGTTCCTGCTGCTGCGAGAGGTCCAGTGGCTTGGGCGGATAGCCCACGAGCACATGCAGCTGGGGCGCTTGAATGGCAGTGGCCTGGACTATTTTCGTTTTCAGCTCCCCCAGCGTCGTATGCTCGTTCAGGTCGTTGACAATGAATTGACCTTTTTTGGACTTGAGCTTCACACTGAACGAACCCGTCATCGTGCACGCTTGTTCTCCTCCTGGGGTTGTTTGGTTGGGCTTTGCCTAATTTTGAATTTTATAATGACCACGATTCGCTAACTTATATATTGTCTAATTTGGGTTTCTTTTTCCTATATGTATATTTTTTTCTTTTTTTTATTGTTTAAGTAAAGATGGAAGTAGTGTCGATTGTTAAAGTTGCTTAGTGTATATCGATTTGCTTTCACCTCTAAGCTTAGGCTTAGCGCTGCCAGATGGTTTATTTTGTGCTTGAGCTGGCAATGCCGTCGGGAAATGGCGCCAAATTGCACGATTTGAAAATTAATTACTTAAATGTTTTAAGTTCAAAAGAAAAAATAAAATGAAAGTCGATGTTCCGAACTCAGAAGTGCCTTAATTGCCGATAAGTCGCCGGCGTCTTTTTTAACGCAGATTTAGAAGGCATTTTAAAATAACTTTACAGACTTATCGAGACTTTTTATATTTTAGTAAACATTTTCTAATTTAACTTAATTTTTAATTATTTTTGTTCGTTAATACATTTTGCTAGGACGCCTATATTTTTCCCACCTACAGACTATTACCTACGCTATTCTACATGTATAATACCCAATCCTCTACATTTTCAAAAGTTGGCAGCGCGGCTTCTTAAAAACAGCGGCTGAAATTCAAATTTCTCACTCTTATCAAACTTTTTAAGACAGGCTACTAAAGCTCCTCCATCTTCCACACTTAAAAAGGTAACTATTTTCGGTTGATTCGGTTACGCCCGCCTATTATGCAGGTGTGAACAAGAAACTAATGGCTGATCGCAACGTTAAGGCCAATGTCAAGACGCTAATTAGTATTTCGCAGAGAATACGCTCGCAGCTAATGGCCTAGTCAAATAGAACCCAGAACCAAGGAAACACCGATTAGCAAAAAGAAGCCATGCCAAGCCATAAGTCAACAAATTGCCCAAACATCAGGCTCAAAAGACAAACAATGGAACCACAAAAAAATATTAACAGACTTTAAAAAAAGGAAAACTCGCCTTTGTTATCGCGAATGCTCCACATGCGTGTTGGACTAAAATCACTTTTAATAGTCCAAACAAATTGATTCCCCTGCCCCGAACACTTGTGAATCGCTGAATCTTGAGCGACGTCGCTCCGCGTTGTTTTAATTTCTATGAAAGACGAGCGGTCTGCCGGCCGAACAACTCACTCTCCACTGACTGGCATATAAATAGACGGGTCGGCGGGGTCTGATGATCAGTGCAAGCAGGTCTGTCAACGCGCAGTGCGAATTCATCGATCGATCATATATCTCCAGTCCAGCCGAAGAACCAGTCAACATGAAATTCTTGCTCCTGGTTCGTCTTCAGAGGATTATCACCAAGACAGTTTACTGACCCATGGATTATCCCCATTTGTTCCTTTACAGAGCGTGTTCCTTTGCTTGGCCGTGTGCTTCATGGTCACCAGTGCTGCTCCCCGCGAGGAGGCCATTCCCGAGGGTCTCGAAGGTCCTGGCAGTGAGTCCATCAACCCCTCCGACGACCAGGGCATCCTGCTCAAGCTGAAGCTGCTCAAGAAGCTCCTGTTCCTGGGCTAGACATCTCCACCTCACATTCATCGATTTTTAGCTTAACTATGTGTTTAGGTTCTTAAGAAGAAAACAAAAAAAAGAAATCAAATAAAAAATGTATTTGGTAACAAAACTTTAAAGTGGAATTTTTATGAACTATAGTTTTTTCACTCAGAGAAAAATTGAAGTATTTCGTGCTTGAATCAAGAATTTTCAGTGTCAAAACTTCGCCAAGCATGGAAAATTCCAGTCTCGAGAACAAAGTACAGAACCTAGGACGTTTACGTTTTTAAAAAAGTTTGAACAATTCTAAAATCTAGGCAGGGAACAATTTAGATCGCTTTTTTTACTTTTAAGTAATAAAACGAACAGTTTGTCTTTTAAAAAAAGGATAAAAACCAAATGTTTTTTAGCCACAATTTTGAAATTTTAACGGGCAAATATAAGTTGGAGGAAAATATTGTTGCGCAGTAGAAATCAAGTTCGTTTCTTAAGTCATTTGTTTGCTTCACCTATAAAAATCCAACAAACCTTTTTTTAATCAATTTCTTATTTACAAAATAAGGCAGATCTAACCAAATAAGACTTTCAATTTATGAAGTGAAGGTAGTGTTGTTGTAACAACAATAGCATGGAAGAATTTCCTATATTTTATAATTTTATTCATAAATATAAACTGTTCATTTTGTATAAAGGTTTAACAAAGTGAAATAAATTATAAAGGTTTTATTGATAAAACAAAAATATAGTTTGAAAAGGTTTTAAAAATTTCTTTAAAACGACATAAGATTTTATTTGTTTCCGTTTCGTATTCACCTTTCTTAAACAATAAAATTGTAATAAATCATTAAAAAATCATTGATAAAAAAGACATTGAAGAAAATCATAGCTCATTAATCTCAAAATCTCTGCCCCTCGCATTAGCACATCTTCGACTTTTGATTTATGTAGGACAGTGATTGGCCAATGCACGCATGTAGGGAAGATTCAGTTCGCTTTTCACACTCTCTCCCCAGAAACGATCCGAAACGGGTTTCCTGCCCATTCAGATCTAGGTAAGCAAAAACCCGACCCGCTGCCAGTCATTAGCTCCTTTTCGGTCAATGATGGTGATCCCATCCCATCCCCGAACCGATGTGACATAAGAAAGCCGACTTGTATGAAAATTACATTTATTTTAGTAACGATTACGTATACTTTACTCGTATGTATGTGGTTGTGTGTGTGCTTATGGTATTGTCTAAACAAAACGGGTTGAAAATCGAATGCAGTGGGGGAGGCAAGGTCCCAATTGGTTGGACTAGAATCTGAACTGAGCTTAGCTAACTGCTGGCGAATGCCTTCTAACCCAGGAGTTTCTTCAGCTTGAGCAGCTTCTTCAGCTTGAAGATAGCCTGGGGATCCTGGGGACGCTGGACATCATCGAAGGCGGGCTGGTAAATATTGTCCCCGATCAGGGATTCATCCACGGGCACAGCTGACACAAAAGCAAGGGCCACCAGGCACACGAAAAGGGTCTGAAAGGTAAAAAGAATAGGGAATATATTTTAACAAAAGTTTTTGATAGAACCAAAAATTATAAACGGCTTACATACAAATTACTAAACCACTAGGTTAAGATTTTATATAATTAGTAAGTAATTTTTAGTTTGAAAACTAGAGCTCCGAAAATAAAAGTCTGAAAAATCTATAAAACCAAATATAATTTTTGGTTGCTATTGAAACAATGGTCTTAACAAATGTTGATTTTCTGTTTAAAAGGAATTAATTTTTATAGTACAAGGTGTTACAGAAATCTTCTCCAACAAAAGGTGGTTAAAATTTATATTGATCTATCCTTTGATTTCAACCATATTTGGTTTGAAGAGTTTTTAACCTTATCAAGTAAAAGTTGATATATTTAAAATTACAACAGCCTTAAGTTTTGATAATTTAAAAAGTAGCTCAAATTCAATTAGTTTATGAATCATTTTTTCTGTACGAAGAAGATGGAAAATCCATGAGGAGTCACAGTTGATTCGATATAATACAACGTAGAGTTTAGGTATTTAAGGAGAAACTAGTGTTGGTATTGGGGACTCCTTTCCTTGTAATAGTTACTCCTTAAAGAAAACTAAATCGAAAAACTCACCAGGGCTAGGTACTTCATGGTTGCTGCTGCTGGGTAGATGATTACGCTGATTAATCCAAAAATCGACTGCACCTAGCTCCATCTGCGATCAGGGCTTTTTATAGCCGAACTTTTGGTGACCACCGATGATAATGTCGTGTGTAAACTGCAGTCTGCAATGGAGAGGCGGACAAATGAACGATACATAAACAAAAGACCGTCGCATAAATAAGACGGTAAGCGAAAAAGAAGTAAAAACAGAAGAAACCTGGCCAAAAGCAGGCCTCAGAGGCGTGGTCAGGTGTTGAGGCAGGTGTATTTTTTTTTGACAGATTTTAGCAGCGAGTCCAAAAACCGAAGCCCAAAACACCGAAACCAGGCCGCCCTGTTTACCTGGCTTTTGGTGGCGTCTTTTGTTTGCTTCGCCAAGCCACTGAAGAAGTTGATCGCTGATTAAATAATAATCATACTGGGCAAATGAAAACCACGCTTAAATGAAGGTCATCACGAATGCGGTCAGCAGAGTGATGTTTACTCATAATAAGGAAGAAGATAGTATAAAAATTGTAATAAGAGGAAGTTTATGTCTAATGTCAGCAGACTTACAATTACCCACTGTAATTCTGTAGCAGTTTATTACCGCATCTCAAGTTCATGATCAACTGGCGTCCCTTTCAAATTGATCAATCAATGGCCAAGACAATTAAATAAATTATCACTTGAGAATTGGAACTATAAACATTTGACACTTTTAACAGCTGTCAAGCCTAAACAGTGGATCATTAAATCAATAAAGCTAAACATTGGAACCATTTTGGGTGAGGCTGTGGTATAAAAACCAAACTTAGACTGATACGGAGGCCAAGTTTTTTCTGCCCAGTCATGGTGGAAGTATCGATGGTGATGACGAAGATCTTGCAGCTGAAAACCGGAAACAATCAACCTGCTCTAAATATGTAAATTTACGAACTTTCGAGAATGCCGACACAATGTCAACTTAACTCAAAACATTCCAAAGGTTGTACTCCTCAAAAAAAAGACACATCGAGATAGGTAAACAAAGTCAACCATGACAACAAAGTGATAGATTAGATCGAATTAATATCTTTGAGGCGCTCTTTGTCGTCGGCTTGTCTCGCTTGAATTTGTTTAAGGTTTTGTATATTTCCCATGCCCCTGGGCCTTTCAATTAACTTATATGGGCGTGGTTGTAACATGTGTGAGATGTCTCAATTTTTTTGTGAATTTATTGTAGGAGATAATAAAATTTATTGGGCGCACAAAACTTGATGAATGAAAGATTGTAAATATTTGCAGAAATTTTGAAATGAATCGAGGGTGAAATAGTTATGTAAGAAAAGGAGAGTCGGTGTATATGAGGTATTTAAAAACTTAAGTTAATTAAATTCTTTATTTTTAAACTACAAAAAGTATTAGCAAAAACAATTTTAAGTTCACTTGAAACTTATAGTTTTGTATTTTTTTAAATAATTCAAAATAAATAAATAGACATTCTGTAGGTTTTATTTTTTCCAACCTTTCTATTTACTCACATAATTCAATATTTTATATTTAATCGGTTGATGTTTCATAGTCATCTTTGCTTGGCTGGGGAACCTCTAAACTTGACACTTCCTCTTTCACTTCAGACTGCTGAGTAGTTTCATCCTTTTCCTCACTGCTCTCAAACACCGATCGTTCCTTATATCCAGGAGGCGTCTTCATGGCGAACTTGATTCTGCACGAAACCACCTTGATAACTTCCTCATAAACTTGAATCAGCTCCAACAAAACGAGATATCTGCCATCAGGGATTCGAAAAGGCACCAGTCTTGAATCAACGATGCCATTTTGCACAAAGTAGAAGCCAGGAACCAATGGACAAGATATTACGAAAGTGGTGGGCAGTAGACTTTCGCCCTGGATCTTTTCCACAGTGATATTACGAAGTGAATCGAGGAGCTTGCAGAGATCCAAATTCCTCATTCGCACCAAGTCCGTTTGATCAGATCCACCCACTTGATTCGAGAGCTTTCTTGCAAAAATATGCATGAGAAGCTTGCCAGGAAAGGGAATTGTAACTGTTAGATTAACATTGATTTCCTCAAAGTTCACGATGTCAAAGGTCACATGCATATGTTCGGGCACAAAGGATTTGCCATAGAATTCCTCAATATGCAGATTAATCTATATAAAGAGTAATACCTTATAGAAACTATTTGTGTTTATGGATACAACTCACAGTGCGAACTTGAATGGCTCTTAAAAATATAATAAAAATCAAACTTTGCAGAGGTCGCATGGTTTAATGGTTTCAACCAAATAACTGGTCTGAATTTGCTGACATTTGGCAACTGGGAAATTAGCCTCATTACTCAGCTGTTTAGTCAGGCCACGTTAAATGGACTAATGACCTTGTTTCGGCCCGATTCTTATCGATCAATGGCCCCCAAACAATGATTGCATACACTATGAGTCCACTGGGGCGTATGCGTAATGTGGGTGTACGAAATGTTTACATGGCGTATGCTTAATGCACAAGCGGAATAACACTGGTATAAATATTTTCCAACCCCTCAACTTGTAATGAGTATTTACAAAATACGAGTCTAACTTGGCAAAAACTTAACGACGCATTTATAAAGACGATAACTATGGAACCCATGGTTTCCAGTTGCGAATTCAGCGGCCAACTGATGAACTTGAACCAAAAAGCAACTACCAGTGGTAAAAACAGCAAAAGTTTACCATGTAAACGGACATAAATTGTGCCGCCGGAAAGCATGGCGAACAAAAGTCTCGGATAAATCATCCCAAACCAAATGTATGTATGCCAGTGGACCATAAATTTCGAGCATTTTTATTGCAATTCGCTTGTTTGTACCAAAAACAAGTGCAAACAATGCCAGCGACAAACAAACAAACGCTGCCTTAAGCCGCAAACTACAGTGAAAGTGACGTAATGCGATGGTAGCGACAACAACAATCGACTAAAAAATATGTATAAAAACCATTAAACAACGACAACAAAGTACAGAGAAAAGCAAGTGGGCAAACGGGCAGAAAAAAAAATGTCAATGTCTTTTACAACGATGCCGAGGATGAAGAAGCAGCAGCTGACCAGGGGTCAAGGGGTGGTAAAAGGGTGGTAAAAGGGTGTTTGGGAGGTTGGGAGGTTCACAGGGGGTGTGCACAATGGATAAAGGGCCAGAAAACACCAGGCATTACGAAAAAAGTGTACTTTGTTTGCATATGTGTGACCTTTTGCAGGGGGCTTGGCACGTGTTTCGACTATCGAAAAAAGTCAGGTGACTTAAATAAAAAAGTTAAGTATCTACAGGTGAAAGTAACACATATCTCAGGAATAAATATCTTTAAGAATAAATAATTGAACTGAAATAAGCAGTTTAACTTATAAAGTAAGAAGTAGAAATGAAGTTACAGATGATTTCAATGATATATTTGGGTAAGTTTATTTTTAATATTATGCACAATGTAATATTTTATTCAAAATAAAAATTAAAGGTTTCCAAATTTTTGGCATTAACTATTGGGTTAAATTGACCATTAAAATAGTTACTCTTACAACAACATACTACACAAATCGTACTATTGTATGGTAGTTGAACTAATAAATAGTAAGCAAAGCAACAACAAAATATACATCACTATTTTCAGTAGTTGCTAACATTTTTATATAGTTGGTAAAATTCACAATTATTTTTTGTTGGGTGTAGAAAAATTAAAAAAAATATAACAAGTGGTTGCTGGTTTTTTAGTTTTTAAGCGGCCAAAAATCGCTTTATTAGGTTCTTAAGGTGATTTAAAATATCTAGCTCGAAAAAATTCAATGAATATAAAAATCATTGTTGATAATATTTAGAATTTCTTAATTGAAACTATGAATTCATATATGAATTATATGATATATCACGATATCACCTCTAATGCATATGGCCGCGGTGGTTTTCGGCCATCAAAAGAAAAAATTCACATGCATCGGATGTCGGCTTACAATTTTATTTACCTCTCCGCTTTTTCGTTTTCTTCGCTTTTCGTACACTTTATATATAAAGTTTATACAAACGTATACTTTATGCGTTCAACGTTTTTTATCGCCTGAATTTACAATTCAATGTCACGCCGGGCACTGTTGTTGCTTCTTCAACATTGCCAAATTGAGGCAAAGTAAAGAAGAAGCTGTTGCTGCTGCACCAGAAGATCAGCAAGATCATTTTGCTGCAGAACCGGTTGGTTGGGCTCCACCTTATCGAAATATTCCCCCCCACCGCCAAACTGCAGACAATGCAGCCCCAATGAAAAATTAAGCGTGTATCGCGACCTTGAGACTTAAACTCCAGCCCAAAACCAAAACCGAAACCAAAAACAAAACCACAACTGCAATTGCTGGTCATCTTGATGCCACTGCCATTCAGGTATTATTTATGTAGGCATGTGGGGCCCATCGAGTTTTATGAACTTGCCCGCCCCGCGCGATAATAATTGTTATTGCCCCCATACATTATGTTTTACTGGGCTAGGGAGGGGTGATATCATTAACAGTCTAGTCCAGATCCATCCAGATACATATCTCTGTAAACGGTGGGCGCGTCGATGTCTGGGGTTTCCGCTTTTATCATGACTTTGGGAAAATACTTAGCATTGCTAGTACTACGTGATTTTGGTAGCATCTTAACCTTTTTGTACTTTAATCATTTTTTCTCAATGCGAAAGCAACTGTTATTATTATTTTCCTAAATTCATAAAAGGCTAAGATCTTGTAATGTATGCTGACCTTATATACTACATTTTTTTTATTAGTTGTCAACATTTTTACAATAAATACTTTAAACTTTTAATTTCTTAAGGATTTAAATTTTTACATTTAAAACCCGTAAAATTCTATAGCAAATTGATTATTTTATAACCCAAGCTCACATTAGGTCCCACAAATTAAAATCAAGTTAAAACCTCTCTAAACGCATACCAATAATACTTAAACTAATACTGGCTGGTTACTAAGTTTTAACAGTAGTGTGTATAATCAGCATATAAATAACTTGGAGGTTAAGATCAATGTTTATAGACGAGCGGGTAAGTGATTTCCATGCTCAGCGAGGGTTGCTTGAGGAGTTCTTTTGATCAAGGTTTAAAGGAATAATTATAAGTGTGCGGATTTTTTATTCAGTTTCTGAAATAAATCATATTTTTCTAAATATCCCTAAGCTGAATCATCTAATGACATACTATTTAATATTTTTTTCATTTAAAGATTTCCTTTTATTATGAACTAATTAGTCAACCCACTACAATGGAGAATCTGGGTTTATTTCCCCATCAAACACTTGGGCAGTGGAATTTTTCTGGTTTCGACGTACTTTAAAGAGCATTTGGCCCATTGATTCCGTAGATCAATGCTAAGAGAGTTGTAATTAAAGGCAGTCCAGCAACTAGCATACTACAAAAATTCGAATACATTTTTATCGCACGTCGTGTTTTGTTTGGTTGATTTAGCACTTGAGATTCCTGCTTTTACAGTGGGCCCACCCACTCGGGCGACACGAAGAGGTATACCAAATATATAGTGGCAAAGTGTATCCATAGATAAAATGCAAATTCCCGTTAATTGAATGCCAAACAAAAGCGCAGTGGCAGCCGCAACATTGAGAAGGGGTTCCACATTTTTTTTTAGGTTTTTTGGGGCTGGGTGTTTGAAAAATCAATTAGCAGTATAAAATGCTTTTTCGGTTTTAAAGCCGTCGTACCTGGGTTAGTTTTTGTAATATTATTTCTGCCTTTCTCCTCTCCTCTTGGTTAAAAGAGAGAGCAAATCCCAGAACCTACACTACATACCAACCACCCACACCAACACCCAGTGAAAACTGAAAAGCGAGAGAGGAAAAGCAGTGGAAAAACCGCAGCTGCTGCTTTAAATTTATGCCAACGCGGCATTAGAAGCATGGCTTGCGGTTAAATGGGCAGTGGGTGGTGGCACTGGAAAGGGGGCGGGAAAATGGTGAAAATGGCAAAGAGATGCAGGGGGGCGTTATTTTAGCCATATTGGCTAGGTATTGGTAACATGTATGTGTGCGCCTGTGGGTGTTGCAAACTGCAAGAAATCAAGGCTTTAGTTGCGGCGGTCGCAACGAAAAATGGCGGAGCGCTTTATGAATATTTATAACACAATGGAGCATGAAAAAGTTCGTTTGTAGGTGGATGGCAAAATGGGGGGGATTTAAGGGGGGCGGGGTGAATACATGTGGGTGATACAAGGAGCTATCCAGGTTCAAGCGTCTGTTATCGATATCATTGCCCGATTGACAGGAAGGGGGTTAATGGAAGGATCAAGTCCCATAAAATCCTACAAAAAATGTGGTTACAAATAAAGTTATAAACGAAATATATTTTGGGGATCTACCCAAAAGTATTACTTATCCTTAAAGGACTCATTATTAAGAACTATTTGCATGGTACTAAAAAAACCCACATTATTAATCTCTATTTACCCCTACACGCTCCTGTTCTTCCAGCTAGAATCCTACAAGGAATCTCCCCGACTTACAATGCAAATGGAAATGCCAGAAGCAGTAAAAGTAACCCCCCACTTCCAATTCCACTTCCTTTCGTCCTTGCATTTAGATTGGCAATAAATTAATACTTGAACATGGAAAGTTCCGCCATTAGAAGTGCGCATCGAATGACACACATTTGGAAAATATTTAATTTGGCTAAAATGCCAATCGTACTGGAATCCAGTTAAAATCCTTTGGCATTTCCATATCAACTGAATATTGCGCATACGCAATGTGGGTGGAGCTCATTGAAAACAAATTTACAGCAAAAGTTTAAATTAAAAATTGTGCAAAATGTTAGGCAAGAAGAAAAATGAATGGCCAAAACCGAAACCAATGCAAATATTGATTGGGTGCGTGTAAAAAGGGCAAAAGGGGAATCCCCCGACTGCGGGCACGTGCTGGCGCCATCTAGCGGTCGCTGCATGCAAATTGCCAAATCAGTGCGTGACTTGTAAAATTTCAACAAAAGCTGCGAACAAAAACTCGAATGCAAACTGTTAGTTATGACAAAGCAAACTTAACTAGCGGTTATTTAGTTTTTTTCTTTGGCTTTTTTTTTGGAAATTTTAAACTAGCACGCACTTGTAACGCCCCACAATGGAGTATGTAGCTAAAAAAAAATGCAGAAAAAACGAGGTGGTCCAGTCTTTAAGCGCCGGTCAATTACCGAGTTTACAGAATGCCCCGGCTAATGGTCAGCTCATTCATGACTCGTTTAATGGCCCCCAAACTCAACTCTTTTCTTCGCTTTACAACCCCTCTTTTTGTTTGCCGCCAATTTGAACAGCAACTGTCAAAGTCAAAGACTAACAAGAGACCATATAGTGTGTCCATTTACGACAGTACCCCCATCTCCATATTTTTACATCGCTTGACTGCCCCTGGGAAACGTTTGCCATTTGTATATCTCCATTTTGGATGCCTTTTAAATGATATTTTCCATTGACATTCGGTAAACATCTTTGCTGCAAGTCAACTTTGTACATCTTGTGTACGTACTGCGTATCTTCAATTTATATTTCAAGTGCAGAAAGTGGAGCAAACTAACATTTCCATCGATTCCCCTTGGTCCGAGTGTCAAAAGTTTTTGGTCA